GTTGGTGAGTGAGTGGGTTAGCCGGTATGGTGGGTGGGTGAGTGGGTTAGTGGGTTTGGTGGGTGGGTGGGTGAGTGAGTGAGTGTGTGAGTAAGTAAATGAGTGGGTGGGTAAGTGAGTGTGTCGGTAGGTGGGTGAATGAGTGAGTGGATCAGTGTGTGGGTGAGTAACAAACTGAGAGTGTTAGTGGGTGAGTGAGTTGGTTAGTGGGTTTGGTGGGTGGGTGGGTGAGTGAGTGAGTGAGAAACTTAGTGGATCAGTGACAAACTGAGTGGGTGAGTGAGTGAGTGAGAAACTTAGTGGATCAGTGACAAACTGAGTGGGTGAGTGAGTGAGAAACTTAGTGGATCAGTGACAAACTGAGTGGGTGAGTGAGTGAGTGAGAAACTTAGTGGATCAGTGACAGAGTGGGTGAGTGTGTTAGTGGGTTTGGTGAGTGAGTAGGTGAGTGAGTGGGTGAGTGATAAACTTAGTGGATCAGTGACAGAGTGGGTGAGTGTGTCGGTAGGTGGGTGAATGAGTGAGTGGATCAGTGTGTGGGTGAGTAACAAACTGAGAGTGTTAGTGGGTGAGTGAGTTGGTTAGTGAGTTTGGTGGGCGGGTGAGTGTGTGAGTGAGTGAGTGGGTGGGTAACTTAGTGGATCAGTGACAAACTGAGTGGGTGAGTGTGTTAGTGAGTGAGTGACTGAGTGAGTGGCTCAAAAGGTGGGTGGCTGAGTGGGTGGGTGGGTGAGTGAGTAAATGAGTGGGTGGGCAAGTGAGTGGGGTGGGTGGGTGGGCGAGTCGTTAAACGTTTTATCACCACGTGGGCATTCCATTTGATTGGCCGTGCCGTGTGGTGGACGGACTTACGACACAAATTCTACCAGATCGTCGCCCCCTCTCGTCGCCGAGCCCGGCGAAAGTGACGGATGTTGTTGTTGTTGTTTGTTGTTGTTGTTTGTGTACAGGGACCAAGTTGAACTGGTCGTCCCGGCTGAGGATTTAAATTTTTTTAGCGATGTCTCTCCTGACAAAAGGTGAGCAGCCGATGGGTAAACGTGCACTCTGTGTGTACAGCACTTTACACTGTACATTGTGTGTGTCCTCGACTTACATTTGACTGTTTAACGCGTAGGCTTTCGCGACCAATATTATTCATAATCAACGTTTTTGTGGGTTTAGATCGCCGCGTTATTTATAAATGTCTCGTAACCCTCCACCACCCGACACGGCCAATCAGTAAAAAAAGTGTCACGTTGACAAAAGACAAATAGTTCACTGCTTTAGCCCCACACGGGTGTGTTGAAGTGTGAAACCACAACATTTACAATTTGAGTTGTACGACGTTTCGCTGGTAATTGCATCCAGCATCATCGGGCAATTCGCCGGAATACATTCTGGTAGGCTAAAGCAGTGAACTTTTTGTCTTTTAGATTTGAAGCTTTCGTGACTGCAAGGATTCATATTCTTAGGTTTTTAAATCCTTTATATTAAGTTCGCTTGCTTGCGTGCTTGCGTGCTTGCTTGCTTGCTTACGACCGTGCAAATCTTTCGGTCGTTTTTTAAACCACTTCCCGTGATCCAATCGAGCTGACATTTTGCACACAGACTCGTTGTGCGAGACAATTAATTTTCGTGAAAAAATGTTTCCAAAATTTTACACTGTTTAGGGAAATTTTTTTAAATATTTAATTACCAATTTCTTAATGCTGGCAGACAATCATCTGACCCATAGGTGGCAGCCATCTCAAGCCAGAGGACGAGAGGACTCTAGCCACCACGCATATAAAGGATTTAGAGTGAAAAACTTTGTTTTTACAGGTTAATTTTTTTCGGAAAAGTCACGTAGGTAAAAAATTAAGTAAATTCACTTGATACAGCTGTCGGGCTGTGATGGTTCCACCTGAAGACGGAAGCTTGTGTTGCCTCCGAAACGTCGTGATTTTTATTTTATTTTTATTTTACTTTTATTAATTTTATTTTTTTACCTACATGATGACTTTACCGAACAAACCTAAGAATAATTGTCTTTTGTCAACGTGACACTTCTTTTTTACTGATTGGCCGTGTCGGGTGGTGGAGGGTTACGACACATTTATAAATAACGCGATCTAAACCCAAAAACGTTGATTATGAAGAACATTTGCCTTACGAACACTCAACTTACAACAGCCCGCACTTACGAACGCTCGCGCTCACGGGAAACCATCTTCCATGAGCCATATATTTTTTATTTATTTTAAACACCGACACAAAGCGTCAACTCGCACACCTGCCAAATTGTTGTAATAGGTTTTTACCCTTTCAACTGGTACAAAAACTGACACCTTTATACAAGGCATCATGTTTGCAATAACCACAACACAAGCAGTCAAAATGCAAACAAAAAGAAACAACTCTGATGATGATAATGATATGCACTGTCCTTGAAGTTGATTGGTCCACACCCGAGACAGCTTTTCTTAGAGCCTAGTCTCACATGGTGTTGGACCAGATGACGCCAAAAGGCGTACAACTCAAAGACAGCGCACTATCAGAGTATTGAGAGCTCGGGGTAAGCATTTACACTATGAGACATCTCCTTTACCAGTGGCAAAATATAGTAATAGGTTTTTACCCTTTCAACTGGTACAAAAACTGACACCTTTATACAATCAACTGCAAGGGCAGTGCATATCATTATCATCATCAGAGTTGTTTCTTTTTGTTTGCATTTTGACTGCTTGTGTTGTGGTTATTGCAAACACGATGCCTTGTATAAAGGTGTCAGTTTTTGCACCAGTTGAAAGGGTAAAAACCTACTGCTATATTTTGCCACTGCTAAAGGAGATGTCTCATAGTGCCAAATTGTTGTTGTTCAGCGGAGCGATCAGATCATTCGCGAGGTGCAGTGAGTCTGCCTCGCGCTGGGAGGGAGTGTTTGCGTGTGCGTGTGTGAAAGTGTGTTTGCGTGTGCGTGTGTGTGTGAAAGTGTGTTTGCGTGTGCGTGTGTGTGTGAAAGTGTGTTTGCGTGTGCGTGTGTGTGTGAAAGTGTGTTTGCGTGTGCGTGTGTGAAAGTGTGTTTGCGTGTGTGTGTGTGAAAGTGTGTGTGTGTGAAAGTGTGTGTGTGTGAAAGTGTGTGTGTGAAAGTGTGTGTGTGTAAAAGTGTGTTTGTGTGTGAAAGTGTGTGTGTGTGTGTAAAAGTGCGTGTGTGTGTGTGTAAAAGTGTGTGTGTGTGTGTAAAAGTGCGTGTGTGTGTGTGTGTGTAAAAGTGTGTTTGCGCGTGCGTGTGTGTGTGTAAAAGTGTGTTTGTGTGTAAAAGTGTGTTTGTGTGTGAAAGTGTGTGTGTGTGTGTGTAAAAGTGCGTGTGTGTGTGTGTAAAAGTGTGTGTGAAAGTGTGTGTGTGTGTAAAAGTGTGTGTGTGTAAAAGTGTGTGTAAAAGTGTGTTTGTGTGTGAAAGTGTGTTTGTGTGTGTGTGTGAAGATGTGTGTGTGTGGGGGGAGCGGTGGTGTAGCGGTTAGCGCGCTACGCTACAAACCTGGCGACCCGAGTTAGATTCCCGCTCACGGCCAACATCAGTGACAATTATCTGAACCGGTCCTAGGCCTCCCCTTAGGTCGACTCAGCCTCAAATGAGTACCTGGTGTAGCGGTGTGTAGTAAACATCGCCACTGGGGAGACAAAGGCGGCCGGGCGTGGTGCTGGCCACCCACCCCCTCGTGTGCCGTGCCGGCCTTCATAGGTGCCACTCGCTAACAGCACTTGCCCCTACAGTCTGTTCAGGCTATACGGGGGATCTTTGTCTTTTTGTGTGTGTAAAAGTGTGTGTGTGAAAATGTGTGTGTGTGTGAAGGTGTTTAACAGCAGAGGTGTCACTCTGAATCAGTTGAGCGGCAATATCTTGTCATAGGTTGCGTAACGCTGTGTGGAAGCTACCTGGTCTGTCGCTCCGCACGAAGCTTCAGGTCTTCTCGGCCACGGTCATTCCCTCCCTTCTCTACGCTTGCGAAACGTGGACTCCCCTAATGGAGCATCTGCACCGGTTAGAAACATTTAGGCTGGCCTGCCTACGATCCATCCTGGGTTTAACCAGGTTGGATTGTGTGAGGAGCTCAGAAATCCTTGAAAGATCTGGGCAAAGTCCCATTGGTGAGCTCTTCCGGAAGGCAAGGCTGCGTTGGCTGGGTCATGTAGCCCGCATGCCCAGCCACCGCATGCCTAAACAGCTTTTGTTCGGCCGGATCGAGGGGGCTAAACGGGCGCGGCACGGGCTAGAGAAGAGATGGAGTGATGTGGTACAGGAGGACGTGGAGCTGAGTGGACTTGCCGATGACTGGTACCAGCGGTGTCAAGATCGGCCTCAGTGGAGGAGGCTCGTGAAGGACGCTACTGGGCAGTTGGAGGGAGTCGCCCTCCAACAACAACGGAGGGCGGAGGAGCGACGCTCACAACAACGAGCGGAGCGCCGGGTGGCTAAAGCACAACAAGTTGGTACAGTAGGGGGCACAGGTGGTGCATCAGTCATCTCAGTCAGTCGACCCGTGGCACTTGCTGGGTCTGCCCCGTGACCTCCTGCCAGCGGGCGTTCGACACTTCACGTGGTAGCCTCAAGGTGCACGTGGCCTGGCACAAGCGTCGTGGTGACGTCACCGCCACTTAGTGGTGAATGGCGATTGTTGTTGTTGTGGTGGAGTGGTCAAATAAGTAAATAAGTGATGAGCCGGTTGTACTCTGTGTGTAGTCTAGGCACGTGTGTGTACTGTGTGTGTACTCTGTGTTTTGTGTGTGTACTGTGTGTGTACTCTGTGTATTGTGTGTGTACTGTGTGTGTACTCTGCATGTGTACTGTGTGATATTGTGTGTGTACTCTGTGTGTGTACTGTGTGTACTGTGTGTACTCTGCGTGTACTCTGCGCGTACTGTGTGTGTACTACTCTGTGTGTACTCTGTGTGTAGTCTGTGTGTACTGTGTGTACTGTGTGTGTACTGTGTGTACTGTGTGTACTGTGTGTGTACTGTGTGTACTGTGTGTACTCTGCATGTACTCTGCGTGTATGTACTCTGCG